AATTGCGAGACATAAAGTCGCAATTCTGAGAAATAAAGTCAGAACTGCGAGATATAAACTCACAATTCTGACTTTTATACTCGCAATTGCGAGTTATAAAGTCAGAATTGTGAGATATAAACTCGCAATTCTTTTTTTATTCAGTGGCGGAAACGGGCTTCCATACTTTAGTGAGTGTACTCAAAAAAAAAAAAATAAAAATAAAAATAAAAAAAAAAGGGGGACATGACATTCTTTAGGATGTAGAACAGATCTTCTTTAATTAAGTGTTTGTAAATATCATGTAACACAACTTATGACTAATATACTATATTCGGTTATTAATGTTTGTTTTTATGTGTTCACTGTTAATCAATGTTGCAATAAATATGACATTGTATTAAATGCATGTATAATTATGCACACATTTATCTGAACTTAGTCCAGCGATGTTATCGTTAACTAAAACTAAACTATTAAACATTTTTGCTAATTTAAATTAAGCTGAAATAAATGAATATTTAAATATTAGACGAAAAACTTTACTAAAACTAAAATTTAGTTTTGTTGTTTATGTTAAAGCGCTAAAATTACCAACCGAAATAAAACTAAAACATAAAGAAAACGAATAAATGAATTAAATTAATACATTAAAACTGTTTAGAAATAAATTAAATGTAAAATAAAATCTGAAAAAATAAAACTAAAAGCTAATTCAAATATTCCTAAAAATGTAATAACCTAAAATAGCAATACAACTTATAAAGAGAGAAAGAAACTGTAAAAAAGAAAAAGTGAAAGAGTGTGTTTTATAAATGATGATGGCTTAAACTTTACAACCACTCCTTGAGAAATGCAAATATTGTCCACCTTTACCACAGGGCTCTCTCTCTCGCTCTCTCTCTCTCTTCCATTTGGAAAGATTTCATCACCTAGTCACACCCTCACATCTTTCCTATGGGAAAGAATGTGCTCATTCATGTTCTACCAAGGATATCAGTTAATCCAATTGAATGTAATCCAACTAAATCATCTGTGCTTTGCTATTATCCATCATGGAACTGGGAGAGGCGGCGGTTTATTTGTTTACCAAGGCCTAAGGGGTTAGTTATTTAATAAATGACATGAAATAACAGTAAGAGTATCCAAAGAACACACTGTGTGTGTGTGAAGCTGTACATTAATGGGTTTGACATCGACAGGATACTGCTGGTAAAACAAGCCCGTACAGCTCAACACTGAATCACACATTCCTTGATCTGTGAGAATAAACTTTCACTCACTTTCTCACTTCCTGTGCACCAAACCCCATCCCCGTTCTCTCTCGATCGTCCTCTAGAGTTGTGCATTTCATTCAAAAAGCAGCATGGTAATATTTTGGTACATGTCCAAAAATATGGTAACGTCATTGCACCATATGTAAAAGATGTCAGTCTTTCAGAGGGACTTGTGTCTTCTCCCAGCTGTTGGTCTCCATTTGACCCAGTGAACCGTTTACAGCAGGCATTTGTGTTTATTTAAGCTGTTTATATGGTTAAGACCACTGCCTTATACATACTGTCAGAGGATTCAGGATGCATACTAATCTCAGCAGCCTCCATCCATGCTAAATACACACGTTACACCCTCACAGCGCTCAAACATTACAGACGGTGAGATACAGAACATACAGAACTAGGGCCAGATTTACTAAACAGGGCAAATTAGTGTGAGAGCGCAATCTCATAAAAGCACTAATGGGAGTGGAAAGAACTGTTCAAATGAAAGAACACAGACGCAGTCAGATCATTTCCATAATGACCAATGCAATCTACCAAATTAGCAGAGGGTTGCACAGAAGCAGAGCCGACAGCAATCAGGTGCAGGTAATCTACTAACAACACAGGCTCAAAATGGGTTATGCTTTTTTTGAGAGGTAAATAATGGTGCATCAGTAAAATGACTACCGCAAACATTAGTAAATTAACCTTGCATTATTCATCTAAATGCTCTCCTCCCATTATTTTTGCATCTGAAAGGGAAACTCCTACAAATGCATATTCAATAAAGTCGGTCACAAAAATAAGAGTCCGCACCTGCATGTCTGTAGTAAACCTGATGGTAGTTTTAGTGCCAAATGAGGGATTGCGCTTGTGCAAGCTGTTAAACTGCATCTAACTGTATATTTGTGCATACCATATGGCAAAGCATAAAAAAAATGCAGTACTATTGAAAAGTAAGGTTTATTTGTTGGAAGAAATAAATATATTTTACAATAAATCCTGAAAAAAATGTATCATGGTTTCCACAAAATGATTTCTGAAGGACCGTGTGACACTAAATGAACTGAAAATTCAGCTTTTCCATGATAGGAATAAATTGCATTTTTTAAATATATTCAAATACAAAATAGTTATTTTAAGTTGTAATAAATTTTCACAATATTACTGTTTGGTCACACTTTATTTTAAGGTCCAATTCTCGCTATTAACAAACCATTAACTGTGACTTTTGCCTCAATAAACTCCCAATTTGCTGCTTATTAATAGCTAGTAAGGTAGCTGTTAAATGTAGGTAATGGGTAGGATTAGGTATGTAGAATATGGTCATTCAGAATGTGCTTTATAAGTACTAATAAACAACCAATATGTTAATAATAGGCAAGCTAATAAGCAACTAGTTAATAGTGAGAATTGGTCCCTATACTAAAGTGATACCCTGTGTTTTACTGTATTTTTGATCAAATAAATGCAGGCTTGGACATCTTTCAAACACTTAAAAAAATCTTACTGATCCCAACTTTGCCTTTTAAAGGAAGGAGAAAATATCTACTGCTTTTAATATTCTGCTATCAATGTCCGAACTGCATTTGAAATTCAGGTAAAAATTAATCTGTTGTGGAGCCAAACTATGCAGATGCTAACACAAATAGAGTGTGCAGCATCCTTTGCTCAAAATCTATCAACAGAACTATGTGTTAGAATGTTCGATAACACTTCTCCTGTGGTTCATACATTTACCAGCTGTCAGGTTTCTAAATATTAGCAGAAACATTTTTAATTTTAGCATATAAATATTAATATTTAGAATATCGTATCATGTTATTAGCACACTGTTTTGAATATTACAGACTTCCCATTCAAGCAAACAGGAGCTGTACTTCCACGACTACAAAATAGCTGTGATGGCTGTCGAGTGGACTGACTCACCGACTTTCACTGAGAGTTCTTCAACTCTAGTGGTATGAAGGTTTGTTTACTTAAGTTAACATTGTCATTCTAAGACTGATATGGATGTACATTCATGTACAGAATATTCAAAGCACTTACTCAGCACTGTTAACAGATATGATTGTTTACATACTCACTAAACCGCATACAGTAGAGAGCTGTTATTACCTGCTTTCTGCATGCCTGACTCCTAAAGCACACACACACACACACACACACACACACACACACACACACACACACACAGACAGTGAAACATCTGTCATCATCTGCTAACCCTCAGCTCAGCCCCAAACCTGTAGGATTTTTCCATTTCTTGGAAAGGTTCTGCAGGCGGTTGAAACAGTCCAAGCGGTTGAAATGGATGTGTACACAAGATATTTGTTGACATTGTTTTACATAAGCGGAAATAAAATAAATAATAATATAATAAAATATAAATGTATCATAAAAAACTTGATAACAAAAACATAAATATTAAAATATAATATATCATAAAAGACGCAAATCAGATATACATACATTCCCTTTCAAAAGAAATAAATACTTATATTCAGCAAGGATGTGTTAAATTGATAGTGATGTAAAGACTAATATTGTCACAAAAGATTCCTATTTTTAATAAATGCTGTTCTTTTTAAATACTTTTTTTAAATAAAATGATTACAATTTTTAAATCAGCATATTATTATGATTTCTAAAGGATCATGTGACACTGAAGACTGGAGTAATGATGCTGAAAATTCAGCTTTGCCACCACAGGAATATATATTTTTTAAGTATATTAAAATAGACAACAGTTATTTTAAATTCTAAAAGTATTTCACAATATTACTGTTTTTACTGTATATTTGATGAAATAAATGTAGCCTTGATGAGCACAAAAGAATAAAAAAACTAACTGATCCCAAACTTATATGTGTATTGTAGTGCATGTGTGTGTATATATATATATATATATATATATATATATATATTTAGAGAGAGAGAGAATAAACTGAACTAGTAAAACTTAAAATGAAAACAGAAAATATAAAAGTAAAAGCTAATTTAAAATATCAGTACCCAGCGCTGGGTTATATTTAACCCAGCATTTTTTAGAGTGTAAATAATATCAGAATAACACTGCTTGATATTATATCATACTAAAGATACTAAAATAAGTTTGCATGCTTTTGAATCAAAAAATTCTAAGTATGATAAGATGAAGGCAACCATTGTTCATAATTCATCAGAGACTATGAACTCTTTTGGCTTAAGCCAGTAACCTAAAACACCATGGCAACCACCTAGCAATGCCCTTGCATCGTTTTTGCCACTCACTTTCTTAGAAAATGTAAAAATCTATTTATTATAATAAGAGCAATTCATGAACTTTATGATTAACCAGACCACTAATGATTGACATTACACCCCCATACTCTGCTGTCAGTATGGCGTCTCTAACAGAGCTCTGGACTTTGATGAAGCCGCCAGCCAATCAACTACACAGGCCGCTCAGATACGTAATCTGGCCTATCTCCCAACACAACTCAGAATAGCTTCTGTGCGGTGGGAAAATATGTCCTCATACACATATGCATAAGTGAGTGATTAAGAGACAGAGAGAATCTAGTGTGAGCCAAAAGCATGTAATATACACCCAATGACCCGCTACTGACACAATCTGTCTTATCTGCAGAGTTAAATTACTCTGTAGTTAAAGGAACACTAGACGGCATTCATTTGATCCCATTCAGCCAGGGGTATAAAAACAGTGGCTTCTTTAAAGAAATATTTCATGCAAAAATTCAAGCGATGCCATTTACTCACCCTCATGTTGTTTCCAAACCAGTGTGACTTTCTTTTCACTGTGAAACACAAAAAGAGACGTTTTAAATAATCACCAGGCCAATATTTTTCTGAAAATTACAACAAATGGGGAATGAAGCTTTCAAGCTTTAAAAATGACACAAAAGCATCATAAAAGTGGTACATGTCTCATGTACTATATTCTGAACATTATATCAGAAACTGAAAATCTTGACATCTGACTGGCACATTCATGAGAGCTCATTAGAGACACGGCGATGGCTGATTTGTGAACAAATCTTTGGAGTTAAACCTTTTCAATTAATTGTTCATAATACGTTCTATTTGATTCATTCACAAATCAGATTCATTCAGTTCTTCAGTTCAATGATTCGATCACAGCAATTAACAGCTCAACAGATGATTATCACTGAATAGTGATTTAAATTTTGGTTTGTTCCTCACATGAAGCCATGTTATGAGCTTCAGAAGACCTCAAAATATTGTGCAAGAATCATATGAACTACTTTTTATTTATATATATTTATTCATTTATTGAAGCATGCAACCTCAGCTCCTGTTCTTGTTCTGTTAATTATGACAGAAAAGTCATTTTTGGGTGACCTAATCATCATTCATGCTCAAGCTAATGATTCTATGATGTAAAAACTCATAACTTAAATGTCTCCATCACACTGACTATAATAAAATAACCAGCTCTTTGAATAGATAACTGGTCATGAAGGGCTAGAATGAGCCTATGAGTGATGTCATTGGCTAATGTTCGGTATCTGCTGAATCGACCAATAAGATAAGCTTGACCTTGATGCACCTTCTCACATGATGGCAAACGGACCCGGTTGTGCTGTAATAGTAACTAAACGGTGTGTGTTATTACAGCGGTAACATTAGTACATTACCCTTACATTTAGCTAGCTGTTATCACATGAGCAAACACTACCTGGTACTCTCTGTTTTTATCTTGGATTTGTTCTCCACAGGGGAACATGTCCTCAGCAGTGTCACTCTGACGTTAGTGTGGCTGTCAATCAAGTTCTTTGTACATGACGTTCATTGGTATTTATTTTGGGTTATTACACTCAATATAACTTTTTTTTGTTGTTGTTGAAAGAAATTAATATTTTTATTCAGTAAAGCAGCATTAAACTCATTACTAGAGACAGTAAAGACTTTTTATGCAAGTAAGGAAAATTATATTAGAAATAAAACCTGTTCCTTTAAAATGTCAACTTTACCATCACAGTAAAACTTACATTTTAAAATATATTGTAAAATAGAAAACAGTTATTTAAAATTGTAATAATATTTCACAACATGACTAACATTACTATATTTTGGATCAAATAAATGGTAAGCATAAGAGACTTCTTTCAAAAACATGAAAAAAAAACCTTATAGACCCCAAACGTTTAACACATATAGTATTGATATGGTTTATATGTAAATTTCATTATAGCAAGTCAAATTTAAATAAACACTAATTTTACTCTATATTAACTTCAAATTCACAACATGAAAATGCATATTATTTATTCACATGGATTTTGAAATGTACAATCGCCACAATCTTCTGATGCTGCTAATATATAATTGGCCTATTAATCAGCATGGTAGATCATATGAGTACAAAGAAACCAAAATGTAACATTCTTTGCTTTCAACTTCATAAAAGAACAAAGTAACCTAATTTTCCACTGAGCTCTGACAGGAAGAGCTGTGTTGAGGTCGAGAATTAGAAAGCTGAAAAGCAAAGAAAGAAAAGGCATCAGCAAAAAGCTTTTTAGACAGTCTGAAATCCTTTAATAATGATCCCAGTTCTTTTTGAGATCGAAATGAAACCAAAGCTCATGCTTCAGGAAGGAAACCGCTCTGTGTATGATGCGGTAACACATGCAGAGTAGTAGGGTGTATAAAAGCCTTTCAACCGCCCATAAAGTTTTCACTGCCTTTGCTTAAAATTCCTGTGTGAGAGCGTGCATGCGTGTGGCATACATGTTGTGTACACGGCTGTGTGGCCTGCGAGCAACAGCTTTTCCATTCTTTCACCGAGTCAGGGAGGAGTGTGTGTCGGTGTGATTACAGACTACGCAGTGTCCTTCCTCCCCCTCGCTGAGCTTCACATACTGTGGTCTCAGAGGGCGTCCGAGGATCTTCACTAACTGTGTTCCATCACGACCCTTCGAGACAGGACTTAAGACGAGCGTGCACACACATGACAAACACGTATGTGTATTATGTGAATGCATACACACAGTGCACAGCAGGCGCTTTGAGTTCCCTGGAGAATGAGTACGCCTGTATACTCTTAAAAATAAAGGTGCTCACAGTGATAACGAAGACCTGATGGTCGAAATGTTGCAATAAATTATTCTTATGGAGCAGTTATATCAGTGTGCGGACAATACGTTTGTATTTTTGCTCACAGTGATGAACCATTTTTGGTTCCCAAAAGAGCCTTTCCGTAAAGAGTTCTTAAGAGAAGCATTACCATTTTCTTAGTTTAAAGAACATTTAAGGAAATTTTTCCAGGTGGTTTATTACTAGTTCATTTTAGTGTCTCTTTAATATTCTGGGGCCAGATTCATGGAATATTTTTTAAGAATAAAATTATTCTTAACTGCTATTTTCTTCTTTAAAAAAGTTAAGAATATTTTTGTATTAAAACATAAATTAAAACAAAATTTTTGAAAAGAACCGCAGATCGATATAATATATAGAATGACAGATAGAACGATAGACAGTATGACGCAAGTAAGTGGACGTCCATGACATGTGGAGTCCCACAAGACTCAATTCTTGCACCGCTCTTGTTTAGCCTGTATATGCTCCCACTAAGTCAAACATGTGCTAAAACATTAGTCACATTTAAATCTAGACTCAAAACTCATCTATTTAGCTGTGCATTTATTGAATGAGCACTGTGCGATGTCCAAACTGAGTGCACTGTATTTTATGTATGTATAATCATTTTCTATTATTAGCTGTCTTAAATTCATTTAAAATATATTTTTTTATCATTTTCAAAGTTTTTTAATTCCTTGTTTTATTTTTGTGATTATTTATAAAAAATTTGAATGATTATTTTACTTTCTTTTATGTAAAGCACTTTGAATTACCATTGTGTACGAAATGTGCTATATAAATAAACTTGCCTTGCCTATGATTGAACAATAAATAGAACAACAGATAGAACAATAGATAGATAGAAGATAAGTTATATGAATTTATTGGTTTATTTCAAATTAATTGTTGCATTTAAGAATTACAACATAGCATTATAATACATATTAGAATACATATTTCTAGGGATGTGCACAATTTTTCTGAAGTGATTGATAATGTAAACAACATCGAGTCATTACTATTTGTGAAATGCAACTTTTTACTGAATTCGAAATTCAGTAGTCTAACAACGCTACTAAAACAAGTCAAATATGGCGCTTGTTTTTTAATTTCAGCCCATAAATATGACAATGTTTGTCAGCTTTCAGCACACAGGAGAGCACCCATACACCAGACACAATCACTGTAGAGAAAGCACAAAAAAGAACTGTTTCTCATGGAGCTGATCATTGAGAGTTCAGCAAGAACTGCCATTCATTCAATCAGTTAAAGCTAAAAGACTGTCATTTTCTTCTTAAGATGTTCTTAAGTATATATTTGAGAGAACTTCTTAATACATTCTTTGTATGACTCGGAATTCATCTTAAGACATTTCTTAACTTCTTTCTCATGAAGATTATAGTGAATCCGACCACTGGTCTCTAGATATGGCTCAACTTCATTTAATGTAAGTTGAAGTGGTTTTTATTTTATCATCTTTCAGACAAAAATGTAATGTATTTAAAAAACAAATACAACAAGTGTAATACTTAGTGTTGGTCATTTTAACAACCTTCGGTACACAATTTATTCAACACTATGCACAAGCAAGCAGCACTCAAATTTTCTTACATTTCTGTGAAATGGGTGACTAATTAGGAAAATTAGGGGTATATGGGTGACTAATTCAAAAGGAAAATATCCTTAACAGTCCAATTATTTGGTGTTTTATGAACAACAGTCTTTAAGATTATGACGGAGTATGTCAAGAATTAATAAAGCATGGCAAGAATTCATCAGAGAAGAAGAAAAGTGAGCAAAACTGAAGGTGAATGATAGGGCCTGCTAAGAGGAACTGTGTACAAACAACACAAAACTACTGCAGCAAAGTGACAGCAAACCTCAATATTCACCTTGAAGACCCTGTTTTCTCAAAAACAGACCAGCGAGAGCTTCACAAAGCCAACATCCATGAAAGAGCTGCAAATGCTAAAACATTAATCACAGGTACCAATGCTAAAATGCAAAAAAGATGGAGTCATGATCATGAAACCTGAACAGCTGGAGCACCAACATCTGTCCTGGCCAGACAAATCAACTTATCTTAACTTTGAATATCATCAAACCACTGTGGACAGTTTTGGAGAGAAGACTGAGAACCAGATTTCCTCCTTCAACATCTCTGAAGCAAATGGCAGATGTTCAAATAGACAAAAGTCCATTGTAGACTATTCACGAGGCGTATGAATCTATTCTAAGACGGTAGGAAGCTGTATTACAGATGGTAGCGAAACACCTTAATAAAGAAATATTGCATATTTCCTATATGTAGCATATACTCATACACACTTATAAAATCACATTACATGCTGCACATTCTTAAATTTCTGTCCACCCTGATGTTCTCTTTAGTTGTCATCAAGCCACCACCATTCGCACCACAAAGCCCTTATACGGGTGTCTCTGTAGGCCACGGTAATGACAACTGTTAGAAAGATCAAATGGTCTCAGCCACGTTGCATTACACTGTGTGAGAGAGAGGAAGTGAATGAGAAAAAAGATAAAAACGGGTTAGTTAAAGGTACAGGTTTTCCTTTTTCTTTTTTTTTAAAAGAGCGGTTACGTTACTTATGGGAAAGAGGAGGGTCTATGAAGGCAAATGTTAAAGACACACCTGGGAGTTCACACGTGCACCGCACGCAGCGAGAGCGTGGTGGGAGTATTGACGGAGCT